AAAAAAATGCAAATTTCAAGATACAAAAACATGTGTAAAGTAACTATTCTTTTCTACCAATATTATGAGATCAAAAAAACTAACAGGCGCCAGTGAGAAGATTGACGATTTCCTCCGATTCAGGCATATCCAAGATTGCATGTTTGATCTTCTCGCGAATCACCAAGACGTCTTTTTGCCAATTCTTGTTGCAGTGACGACGACTAACAAGCCAATCTAAAAAAGGAAAGTAATTTTTGGGAAAGATTTGATGATAGTTTTCGAGATAAACAGTATTTTCATATCCATATTATTAACTTTCATAAAAACTCACCCAGAAGCTTTGCACAATGTATGTCGATTGGTAAATTCTCCGTCATCTCTGAAAATAAATTCGTTAGACTCGATAAATATGTTGAAAAAAGACAAGGCAGAAAAGGGCAGATTGCAAGGCCGAAAGACAATAACAACACTTCAATTTTGTGGCCTTTTCTCACGCCGGGCATTCAAAAGACATAACAATCAGTTATGCATTTGGCATACTTTCATTAAAATTCTGAATTCATTTTATTTCTTAAAAATTTTACTGGCAGGTGATGGTTGCTTTGGAAACAACACCCACCACAATATGGGCAAAAAGATTTGTGGCGGAAATGTGGAAAGTAAGCTTTTATAAAGTTTACAAACAAATTTGATTTTTGTAACCATTAATAATAATACAATATTCTATTAAAAAAACATGCTTATCAACGTAAAAAAAACCAACAACATTTCTATACTAAAAATTATCATAAAACTCAAATTTAAAATTACCAAAATGATAAATCAGAGAGCATCACCTCCATCTTGCAATTGGATCTAAAAAGTCTTGTATTCAATAAATATTTATCCGCAAAAAAAACGTAAAAACAAGGTAAAAAAACAGACTGTAAACGGTAAAATACATAGGGAATTAATCAACGTAAAGCTGTCAGCAACACAATTTGTAAGCGTTTCTCTCAAAAAGCTAAAACCTTAACCGTAAATAAAAAAATTTGAAAATGTTCACAGGCAACATATAATTTCCATTCAAATTCTACATTTACACTTCACCAGGCCAAGCTTATCCATTTTTATCCTTTAGTAGGCCAAGTTTATCAATTTTATAAAAATTCAACAAAACTTTTTACGCCAGAGACACTAATAAAACCCCAAGAAATTTTTGAGTAATTCTTAAACCCCAAAGCAACGATGCAAAGTGCAGAATAATTTGGTATAAAAAAATTTTGCGGGTTCTTATTTTAAAAAGCAACCTTTAAGGCAGATTTCGAGGCGACTCGATTCGCGCAGAGACTCTTTGAAGATGTGCGCACGAATGCGTTTAATGGCACATATCTTTCAGATTTAATTGGTATTGTAGGCAATTTTGAACACTTTAGTTTAAAAAGCCAATTTTAGCCGAATTACTACGAGCGGCCACGTTGAGCAGCTCGTCCGACCCTCGCGCATTTCGATGTATCGTATTTCTCATGCACAATGAAGTAAGAACACAAAAAATCTTTTAAAACATTTAAAAGACAAAATTTCAAACTTTCAGCATTTCTCTTGGGCTGATTTTCTAAACGCGGTGACAGATTTCAAAAAATTCGACAAACCACGTTGTTTGCAAGCACTTTTGTTGTGTTTACAAAAGCTCGATGGCGAGATTAAGTGAGTTGAAGAAGAAATTTTTGATATAAAACTTAACATTACTAGATGTGATAGTCGAAAACCAATCGAATGCCAAAGACTCGCCGACGCCACAATAAATGTCTTTATTTGGATCTCGAATGGAATTGAGGTGAGCAGGAAAATCAAACACCAAACATCTTACTAGTAGATCAGATTTGTTAACAAAAAATAAAACTGATTATATTTAACTACATTATTACAGTACAGCCATGGACAAAAGTCTTTTAACGTTGGTTTTTAGAAGTTTGTTCTTTGTATATCTTGATCCAAATCAAGATCCAAGTCAATTTGCAAATGATTAAAAGACTTAAAGAGCTTATTATCTCTAATTTTAACATTACAAAAAGATGGATTTGACAATTTATCAGGTGTTATGAACTTTTTAATAAAACAAAAATTGGGCCAAAAATTGATGGACAAAAGTCTTTGAAGATATGAGAAAAACATGAAAATCAATACTTAGTAGGTCCTCCGCGAGCCGCAATTACTGCTTGAATTCTCCTTAGCATGCTGTCAACCAGATCACGTAGAATTTGGGGTCCAATAGTTGTCCAGACTCGACGGATGAAGTACCAAAGCTCCACTTTTGATCCGAATAGTTTCCCCTTCAATTTCGACTTCACAAACGCCCATAAGTTCTCGATCACATTCAAATCAAATTGGTCGGATTTGGATCAAGATATACAAAGAACAAACTTCTAAAAACCAACGTTAAAAGACTTTTGTCCATGACTGTATTCTTCAATTGTTAGACTTAAAACATTAAAGCAAAATGGCCATTTTCAGAAATGTGCCGCTGATCCCGATTTGTGTGACTCGCTTGAACTTCTCGTTAATGCATTTCTATTCTGCAAAGACGATGGCTTTGTGGAGAATATTTTGCAACTTCAAGAAGGAAATACAGGTAGAACAAAGCTATACATGAAAGGGTTTTTAATTTTTAAACTTTTAGATATACTCAGCTCAATCGTTCAACCAATTTGTCGAGCCACCGAACTAATCAACAACGGAAAGCTCCAGTATTTGGGCCAAGAAGTGAAAAGGTTTCCATAAAACAATTTTCGTTTAATACCAAAATTACAGTATTTTCAAGCTAAAACCCTATGAACCAATGGATTACATGAGGAACTTCTTGAACGAGGTTTGATTAGATCTTCAAAATTTTTGATAAATACTCTTTTAGAACTCGGGAGCCATGCGAACCCTGGCCGGCGTATTTTCCTGTTTCCGAGTCGTTTCTCCAGTGAATGAAATTGTGTCAACGGTTCGAATGGTGGCCTCCACGTTGAAAATCTCAATGAAATCAATGGCAAAAGATTTCATCTACACTTGCCTATTGACACATGTAAGTTTAATAGAAAAGTGCATGGTGGTGGGTTCAACTATCAGACAAAACTAGCTCAAAATTTCTGACAATTTCACAGCTTGCTTAGGCTTCGAGTAGACTTGTAACGAAAACATCTGTCACTCCTTTTTTGCCGTTAGTAATTTAAGATTTTTCGTGCTTTTCTCAGCACCAACCCTTCGATTTTGACTATTTTGACTATTTTGACTATCATTCGATGCAAAATAAAATTATGCGTCGAATGATACCAAAAACAACTCAAAATGTAATAGCTATGCAAAGTTGTTGGCTAAAAACTAAACCCCGCCGATTATGGGCGGGACTTTACCTTTTGCCTCATAACTTTGCATAGATATTATATTTTGAGTTGGTTTTGGTATCATGCGATGCACAATTTTATTTTGCATCGAATGATAGTCAAAATAATCAAAATCAAAGGGTTGGTGCTAAGAAAAATACGAAAAATCTTAAATTGCAATGCGAGCCGATTGCACATCGCAACACTAACAACTACGACTTTTGTATGGGTGCGTAGTGTTGGTGCTCTCAATTTGCGGCCATTTTTACTAAACAATAGTTTTTCTAAAAGTTTTCTATACCATCATGTAGCCCAATTGAAGGGCTACATTTTGATACCAGACTCACACAAAGCGAAAGCCCTGGTAAATGACAATTCCATACGGCGCAATCATCATGATCAACAAAAAAGCTACCGTACCCTGGTCAATTGAAGTCAATTAAAGTTCCTTTATAGTTCCTTTATAGTTCCTATTTCGTTCCTTTAAAGTTCCTTTATAGTTCCTCTATAGTTCCTTTATAGTTCCTTTATAGTTCCTTTATAGTTCCTTTATAGTTCCTTTATAGTTCCTTTATAGTTCCTTTATAGTTCCTTTATAGTTCCTATTGAAGTCAGCTTACGGTAGCTTTAATCAAGAGACAAATTTCAAGTTAAATTCAAGTCAAATCTGTTCACCCATCCCCTCATTTTAGTTGGATGAGATGAAATCCGTGTTTGTCGACTCATTTCTATTGATAAAAGTGCCCAGAATCTTGGCTACCATTAAGGTAAAGTTTCAGATAAGTTTCAGATAAGTTTCACTCAAAAGTTTTCAGCAAGAACTATTCTGGTCAAACGAGGATATGGAAAGGATTCTTCATGAGGTTCTCACTGAAGGGAAACATGTTAGTTTTATTAAAACTTGTTTATCTTTTTATCTATCACTTATCCATAAAAATCGTAAAAAAAAAGAAACTATTCATTTCCAGATTTTGGATCTCTTCGATCAGGAAACAACACTATTGGTTTTTCTTGTCACTTTGTCAGAAGCCGGTGTGATCTCGAAGCAATTCTCCGAACATGTCACGAATGCAAGAGGGTTGGTGAAACAGATCAAACATGAAAGCAGATCTAGTGCAAATCTGTTCAGAAAACTTTTATCTCATACAAACCATACACCGGGGTGGTCTGTTTATGAACAATTTTCGATCAATAAAAAATATACAAAGACATAGTCCAATCGATCCACTCATTATAGCACTCGTTGTGGCTATGTCTATGGCACTGTTCGAGAAAATTCCGCCAGTAAAATCGCCGAGTATACTTTCCAAAGAGTATAACTAAAATCGGTTTTTAGAATTTGATCTAAAAAATTTACCAAACAAATTGGCGATGCCCATAGCATTAGACGGCTTCGATAGCGCAAACCGAGAAGCGTTATAATGATTGAGGTCAGATATAACATACAATGCACAATAATGCTTCTGAAATCGAATTATAGTAGCTGAGATTGCTCTTTACCTCGATGGAAGACCTGCTTTAGAATTTCTATTATATAAAAGAGTGTCTGTCCGTTTGTACGCAACTTTCAAGGGAGAAGCTAGAGCTTCAAAAGCAAGCCTTATAGGTTTTCGGGGTCGGGGAATTTCCAATTGAGGTCAGATTTTTCAATTAAGTGGGACTACGGGGGATCGAAACCGGATCGTGTGGGCTGTAGACAAGTCTGCTTCCGGCTGCGCGACCACAACAAAGTTATCCGACCGGAAAAGCCTGTTAGGCGGGGTTTTCGGGTAACTATAAGAGTTTTATTTTATTTCTCGTCAGTTTAGGAGACATTTGTCATAAGTTCTAAGTAATTTATACTTTAAAAAGAGCACCTAGACAATAGTTAGAAACTTTTTGATACACTTAACTTTGGGAAAATGAAGTAAAAGTTCCAATGTTTCAATCTTAATCGAGCCTCTTAGATTAATTGATTGATTGATTCAAAACTCACATGTACAAAGTGACCATAACGCCTTTCGTAAAGCCAAGCAATCGCAAGAAAAGTCGGACACTAAACTCTCAAGTTGAACATCGTTTCACTAGCATATCCCCTTACTCCGCTGAAACAGAATATAATCTCCGCAGTGCCACGATATAACTGCAGACATAAGCACCGAAAAGAAATGCAAAGTTTAAACTCAACAAAATCTGAAATAATGATTAGTGGTTATATCGTTAAATGAAATTTTCGCCTACCGTTAAATGAAACACTCTGAACATTCAACAATTGATTCAAATCATGAAAAAAAACATTAGATCGTGTCAGTGAGTGAAAACTTTAAAACTTAGAACTGTTTGTTCTTAAACAAATTCCCTTATCTTTCCCCTTTTCGAAAAGCCGCCCACAGGAAAGCTTAAGTGCATTAGACAATCGATTTTAAATTGAGCAATGATCAACACTAGTCTATTTAATTTAGCAATATATATATACATTTATTCACACGAATGATATAGTACAAACGATATACAAGCCCTAAATGCAAAAATCCAGGCAAAAAAACGAGTACTAAAAAAAGCCGGAGAGATTGAACCTTTAAGCTCCCGACTCAGACACAGGGCTCTTAGCCAGTCGGCCATGGCGTCAAGTGCACGACGGGGTTTTTAACAAGCTTTCATAGCTTGATGATAACGATTTTGTGCACAGATTCAAGTGTAAGTCTAGAGTTTAATATTGCTTTTAACTTCAAAAAGGACCATTTATCGCAAACACATAATACACCTTGGCCGTTTATTCACAAAGATATGCTTATCAATGAAATATACACAAACAAAGACACCCAACGAGCCGAACAACATAGCTGTCGCTGTCAAGATATCAACCCAATTACCCGAGAAAATCCCGCCAGTAAAAGAGCCCAAAAGACTCTCGAGAGAATAGATTAAACATATCGGACAAGCCCACAAGATCAAGCGAGAGCGTCTGAAGACTCCGAAAAATGTTAACACAATTGAGGTAACGTAAAGAACTGCGTGCACGAACATGCTTCTAAATGAATTGAATATGTGAAAATTTTTAATTTGTAGCTAGAGGCAAAAAAAAAGTGTGCAACCGGTAAACCTTTTTACTAGAAGTTCTTAAGTTACCGGCTAGCAACTTACCAAACAGTAGCCTGTTTGAATTCCAATTTCCTAAGTTACCAGCTAGCAACTTGCCAAACAGTTGCCTGTTTGAATTCCAATTTCCTAAGTTACCAGCTAGCAACTTTCCAAACAGTTGCCTGTTTGAATTCCAATTTCCTAAGTTACCAGCTACACTGCTTCAAATCGAAAACATTTCTATGATACTTAAATGATCGCCCACAAATATAAAAGAAAGAAAAACTTACAGCCATAAAGTAAGCATGACACCTTTCGTGAAACCCAATTGCCTTAACTGATCTCGACTCCTGAAAGTGTCAGAGAGTTAGACAAATTTCTCATTCACTCACTCCTCCGGTTCCTCATAAAAACGAAGCAAAGTGATCACATCGTCCGCTAGAAATGCACCAAATAGAAAAATAGAACTGATGACAAGTAAGATCTGAAATGTTACTGTGAAAATCACCGTACTTGTCCAAAATTTCCTACCGTCAATTGGGTGATTCTATCTAACCGCATTCACGATACATAATCCGTAAAAAAGTTAAAAGAATAAAAGGTGACAAAATTTTAAAGTTCTTGGAGGAATATTCTTATCACTTGATGAAAAAACCCCGCTTTGACACACGGGCTTAAATTTATTGAACAATAAACATTTAGAGAGGCTTTTGATCAATTCGTTCATTCATTCATGTCATCAAAGATCATTTCTGATTCATTGAGTCATTCTTGAATAAAGAAGAGAAATTTTATATACTTATTTATAAATTAATAAAGATCGTTCTGCAAAAAGTCTGCAAAAAGTTAGCAGATTTCGGACTAGATCCGGGCGGTGTTTAAGAATTCAAAAATCTATTGCATTTATTGATTATGCGAGTGATAAATTTAAAGTCGAAAGCTCGATTTTGGTTAAAACTTTGAGCTTACAAGGGAATGTCAACAGGATGTGGCGGCTAAATGACATGAGTTATATACTAATCGACGTAGATCGAAAAAGCTGTGACCAAATGACATCCGCCATCTACTAACCGACGTAGAATTTTGCGCTGATTTCGAATCAGCTTTCCGTTTTTGCAAAATGGTACTCTATCAAAAGTTATAAGCCTACAAAGTTTTGTATGGAATAAACAGAAAACAGACCAGGGGGAAAAGATGACAGTGATGACCGAGTGGCAATAGGCTTGAATACGAGGCAAGATCTCTAGGGTTCGAGTCCGGCGTTTGACTTTTATTTTTGCTTCTTTTAGCATTTAGAATGGTTTGTGTTTGAGGTTTAAGGCCACCACACCCTGTTGACATTCCTTTGTTAATTAACTATGAATCCTTTTAGCCATCACGTTCACAAAGATCATCGAAAACATCTGACATGGAAAGCGCTCGAGGCTCGAAATGTTATCATCAAAACGTGGAATAATGATGTAAGCTTTAAATAAAAGATTTCAAAAAGTACAATATTTTCTTTTCAGGCTTTTTTGAGTATTCTCTCAAAAATGGTGGGCAGCGGTGGAATCGCTTTTGACTCGGTTTGCGCCACTTTTTGCTCAGATGGAAACGTGGTCGAGTTTAGCAACAAAATTGCGAGGTTTGATAGAATTATCCGGGAATTTGCTAGAATTTCAAAGAAACTTGGCTCTCGTTCGTTATCCGGGGGTTTTCGAATGATAGAAAAAAAAAATAATTAAATTGAATCACGCAATAAGAAAATCAAGAGGCAAGACGCTCAAGTTAGATCGCGCTCATAGACCAGTTAAATGCGAGTTTCAATTGGTAACTCAATAAATAAATGACTCCAATCGATTGCCCGATCCCGAAAGCCCCGCGGTTACAAATTTACAACTGAATAGCTTTTTTTTGTACCATCAACAAAGCAAGAGAAATCCCAATCTAAAAGGGCTTGAGACTGTTCTTTGTAATCGTAATTGTAATGTAATCGTAATCGCTCGCCATCTGGCAAACCCGTCCGACATAAGGGGCTTTCCTTTCAGAATAGGTAAAGCGAAAGAAGTGTCAACGACTGAGGCTTCCCCAAGAAGTGTTAAAGCCCGAAGTGTCTTATTTAAAGGCAAAAAGTCGTCAACAATACTGGAAAGGAAATGCAAAGCGGGATTCAAAAAAAAAGCGGATAACGGATAAGAATCAGAAATTTCAAAGGAAAACTTTTTTAGACTCAATTTCACCGCTGAAAAGCCCAATCAAACGCTTGACTCGGAAACAAGGGCAAATTGCTTTGATCTCACCTTTTCACTTCTTTATCGAATGCTGCAATCGTTTACAAGCTTGGTAAATTTTTGCTGAAACGCTCGACTTGCATAAATCTTGTTCAGAAGTTTGAAGAAATCGTTAACGGATGCAGTCCTGATAATTTGGATCAAGGGATTTTCTGTCGATGGGCAAACGAATCTGTGAGACGATTGGGATTACCGGTTGGTTATACAAAGAAGAGCTTTGTAAACTTTCTGATCTATCTTCGATATATAATATATAAATAGATTGAATTCAATTTTAGATCAAACACAAACCGGTGACGGCTGACGACAAGGAACGAAACCGCGAGAATTTCGCCCTTTTGCGCGATCGAGGTCTTTTCTGGGATCCGATCACGTGAGTGAACAGTAGAACTGAAATTTCGGTATTAACAAGGGAAGTTCACAAGAGTGATGTGGCCAAATGAGATGAGCCATATACTCACCGACGTAGATTTTGCGCTGATTCCGAATCTGCTTTCCGTTTTTGCAACGCAGCACTCCATCAAAAGTTATAAGCGCTCAAAGATTTGTATGGGAAAGAAAGATTTGATTTGTAATTTGTAATCTTGATAGAGTGCCATTTTGCAAAAACGGAAAGCAGATTCGAAATCAGCGCAAAATTCGACGTCGGTGAGTATATGTGGCTCATCTCATTTGACCCTCATTTGGCCCGTGACCTCCCTTGGAAGACTTACATTATCATTATTACAGTGCATCAAGCTTTTTCAGGGTTGATTACGCTGAAGTGATCAACTCAATGCCGGCTATCTGTGAAGTGATCATCGATCAATTCAACGAGAATCGAACTCATGCCGAGTATGAATTCAAAGTAACTTTTGGAATAAGATTTCACTTGTAATCATTTACAAAGATTATCAACAATCATAACTTTAGCAAATCATTGTTAGAAGCTTCAGCACCGCATCATTTTTGGTTATCTGCATTGTACAGTGGTTGGACAGTCAACCAGATTCGGGTAAATGGCTAAAGAGATTTTTAGAGGCCGATTTCTCTTAGCCGTAGCATAGCATAGCTTCGGCCATAGCAGCCATACGATGCTTTGAAAATTTAGAAGTCAAAACGATGATGGTGCGAGCGTTGCGCTGTTGCATGGACGAATTGAATCCAATGGAGAACAAGTAGGCGAAAGTTACAAGTTCTGGAAGAGGCCAGGATTGTTTCAAATTTGCCAACCATTCTCGATCAACACTTCTAGCCCACTACCGCTATTCATCCGCCAATCATGCCATCTTGTTGTCGATGAAATGCTTTCGAATGAGCCCGTTGTTGACACTTTAGCCTATACAGTGATCGTTATGTCTGAGCGAAAGCTACCGCCAATCAGAACTTATCAGGTCAAACTATTAACAAGAAACATTTTATTAAGATATTAACAGACAAGAAAAGTTGCTGGCAAAAGGGAAAAGTTTGGACTTTTGGAAAAGTTGCTGGCAAACGGCTGACCAATTGCCAAAGTGTCAAGCGTTAGATTGAAAAATAAAGCCCTTGATCTTGGCAACATTTCTCTATAAAGAACTTTCCGATTGGAATTATAGAAGCCATTTTACAAGCTCTCGAATGAGCTCAAGTCGGCCTCTCCTCGGCGATCTGCCTTTTTGATACTTTCTTAATAAAAAATTGTTAAAAGTCGATATTTATTTTATGACAAAATAACATTTAATATCATTTAAAAGGAATAAGAATAACAGGAAACTCTTTTATCAAACTTTTATAGTCAAAATTGGGGTTGATTTCTGGATTCATTTGGAAACTGTGCGAAAAAAATTGAGCTTTTTCGAATATTCATTTAAGAAAAAGATCTTGCTGTATAAGCTTCTCTAGCATTTTATTTTTGTTGAATGGTACTTTTAAAGTAAAATACTACAAGTTTGATTGAGAATCCTTTTCTAAATGAAAACATTATGTGTCAAAAGTGTCAAAAATGTCGGATCGCCGGAGAGAGGCCGGAGCTCATTCCGAGAGCTTGTAAAATGCGTTGTATAATTCCAATCATTCGAGATTTTGTAAAAGTTATTCAACGCAATAATATTTGAGTTCAATATTTCAGATCCCCGAGAGACAGAGTCTGAAATGTGGCTGGTTTCACTCACAGAAACAATCGTGGGTTTCCCCGCCGGTTCTCAAGATGTTAGACCATTGCAATCGGGCGGGTCGACAGAAATACTGGATTGAGGTTACGAATTTTGAAGATACAAATAAAAGCTTTCAATATCTAGGTCTTCATGCACAATATGCTCAAAAATAAGACGGTCGATGAACTTTTGGCTGCTGGAGAAATGATTCTAGCGTCAGCACTGATGGACCCGGCGAGATCTCTGGTGGCTTTATGCCAATGTTTGGTATTGTTTAAAAACAATTCTCTATTGCTCGATTTGTTTTTTTTTAAAAATCCTACAGTAGCCTTTAGATTGATTATCTCATTCCGGAGGTCGAAGATGAGCACAAAGTTCGCTACGAACCGCCACACGCGTTGCCTCTTGCTCGACTCGTTGTCAATGTAAGGGCTGACTAAAATCTACTAATAATATTTATTCTAATCTACAATATCTACAATATCTACAATATATTTATAAGATCTTTATTTTAGGTCTTAGTTTTATCCGAATGGGTGATTGCGGAAGGGAAAAGGCGAGCACAAGACAATGATTTAATATCAGGAGAGTCTGAGCGAAAGAGAAGAAGAGAGGATTTTGTGCCAACACCATATCCAGGTTTCTCATTATAAGATTCAACTATCTTTTTATAATTTAAACCTTTTCCAGAGTCTGAGAGAGCAGTGATTGAGGAATTGGAGCAAACGGTGCAGTTCGGAATTCACAAGCTCGCGAAGGTAGAGTTTTAGCTATATATAAAAGAGCAGTGTCTGTCCCTGTCGGTTCGTCGGACTGTATGGGCTTTTTCTCAGCCGTCTTTACGCCAAAAAAAGCTAAAATTACTTTAAAAGTCTCAAAATCTAATACCATTTAAGAGATAAAAGTTGAAAAAATGAAGACCCTGTTGATGCTGAGATCCCCTCCAAAACCCAATAAGCGTGACCGCCCGAATAAGCACACACGCAGATCTCGCCAATCTTAACCAAAAGTTCTCTAGATAATCGTAGAGATAGACTTTACTAGTACTAGACTCAACAGGTAGGGCTAGGCTAGTATTTGAGCTTATTTGAGCGTTGGAAACGAACTCTTTCGGCCAATACGGGGGTCGAAGTCGGGCCGTGTGGGTTGTAGACAAGTACGCTGCTGACTGCGCCAAACTACTCATCATCCCCAAGAAATTCTGCTAGAAAAAACCCGCTGTTAGGCGTTTTTCGGCTGGATGTTATGTTATAAAATGTCTCAATTATCAGAAAGTCGCTGAAGGTCTACTGGTCCCAGTGATTTCATTCATCTCACATTTCCTCGTTCAATTGGCCTCACAGTCTCCTCCAGAGAACGCTCCACATCGAGAGGCCTGGCGATCACTTGTCAAGAAGATTCCGAGGGATATGGTTGGATGCTTTGACTTTGACTTTGACTAATTGACGAAAACCCTTGTTTAACCTAGATTTCAAATCCAATGGCAAACAAAAGTTCATATGCAAATTTGCAAGCAATTTGCAAATTGCCTTTTGAACTATTGTAGTTAATAATTCCACCAAGCAAAATCTCAATTCAATTCAACAATTCAGCTGAGCAACTTGGCTGTACTGGAGCCAAATTCCGTCTCCCTCTCACTTTTCGATGTTTTCTGTGATGTCAATGATCCGAAGAGTCGACAAGAACGTCTCCAATTTGTTTGCCATATGAGACTTCATGGAGCTGTATAGAGAACAAAGATTGATCTCATTCTATCGGGTGCTAAATAAACTCTTGTTTAAATGATCAGAATGCGAGACATCCAGAAAGATCAATCATTTTTGAGGCCATTTAGCCCTTGGGGAATCTTTCGGTGAATCTCGAGAGCTCTGGGGGAAAGAGAGAACAAAAAGTCGTTAAATATTTCAAGAAAAACCTTTTGACTCGGCCAAACATTGAAATTTGAATCTGTTTCTCTTTCTTCTAAAGTATAGTACAAATCTAGTGACAAATTTCACTTAAATTGTGCCAATTTTTGGGCAAAACAAATTTTTAGGCTTTTTGATACACTTTTCTATAATCACCTTTTGCACAAGAGCAAGACTTCAAAAGTTGTAAGTTTTTGTCAAGGGAAAAACATTGAGAAATGAGCTAATCATTTGGCTTTTTCCTGGGGAATTTTCACAAGTCATTTCTTTAACATTTTTTTTATATTCAACTGAAAGTGCCAATTTTGAAGCTTTTAAAGTAACTAGTTTTTCACGAATAAGTTCTTAATGTGAATTGTCGAGTTGAATGTTGAGTTGAATGTTGAGTTGAATGTTGAGTTGAATGTTGGGTTGAATGTTGAGTTGAATGTTGAGTTGAATGTTGAGTTGAATGTTGAGTTGAATGTTGGTGATGTTGAGTTGATGTTGGTTGAATGTGAGTTGAATGTTGAGTTGAATGTTGGTTGATGCGAGTTGATGTTGGTGATGTTGAGTTGAATGGTTGATGTTGAGTTGATGTTGAGTTGGGTTGATGCGTGATGTTGGTTGAATGTTGAGTTGAATGTTGAGTTGAATGTCGAGTCGAATGTCGAATGTCGAATGTCGAGTCGAATGTCGAATGTCGAGTCGAATGTCGAATGTCGAATGTCGAGTCGAATGTTGAGTCGAATGTCGAGTTGAATGTCGAGTCGAATGTCGAGTCGAATGTCGAATGTCGAACTTCACTCCTCCAAAATATCAAAAAAAGCTTTAGAACTATGCAAAAGCAAAAGCAAAAGCAAAGAAAAGCAAGCTAACTTTAGCAATTCTAAATTTGGCTTAAGACTTTGAAAATCTCTAACTTCTCTGGATTTTTTTTAAGCGTTTTGGTGACTTTTCAACATCATAAACCATTAAAGTGCTTTAAAAAAGATTTTTTTTTTAATCAAATACTAGTATCGAAACAAAATCCCTTTTAGAACAACCCTTTTCTTCAAAAACATAAAACAACTTCTCATTATTTCCAAGATCCCTTTCTTCAACGATAAAATGAACCATAAAAATTTCTATATAAGGTCAAGAAATGCCTCTAAAGTAATTCCCAAAGATCAGAAATGAAAAAGAATAAGTTTTTTAGGAGAAACAATAAGTTTTTCAAAGCTTTATTCCATTTTATTGAAATCCTCATCATCGCTAAACATTTTCGGATGCATTAGTGAGTGATTTTCATCTAAAAACACTTATCATCAAAACTTTTCTATATTTTTCATTCAAAACTTTTCAAAACAAAGCTTTTGAAAGAATTGGCACGACACAGCTCTCCACTCACAACAATATTGAAGCCCCATTTTATTGTTTTCCAAAAATTTCAATCAAATTTCATTTCAATTTCACTTTTTTTTTCTATTTTTCGATATGTTTAATATTTTTTCTTTTGGAAAAGCTATAGAATAACTTTAGAGCAAAAGCTTTTGAACTATGCCGTTCTCTGGGGGACACTGTGATGCCAGTTGAACGAGGAAATGTGAGATGAATGAAATCACTGCGATCAGTAGACCTCTAAAGCTAAAAGCAAGCTAACTTTGAAGCAAAACTGATTTTGTTTATGAAAAGCTTTGCTAGAATGTTATCAGATTTAACCATTTTCCATGCAGATTTCTCATCCGTAAGTCATTTTTGCAGCTTTGTAGCAGATGATGTAATGCTCATTCTTTAGAAGAATTTGCACCTGACTAGTTTTTGAGCACAAAAATGATAGGCACAGTGTTTGAACCCTTGCAACATTCTTGAACATTTAAAGTTCTGGACATTTTTCTTTCTCAAATGTACACTGTGCTTTAAAAGCTAAAACCCACTCTTTCTGGTGCACTGAATTGTTGATTTTCTTGCATAAGTGTCGCATTTGATGTCGCAAGAAAGAGGTTGAAAAATGAGTGCACTAAAAAGGTTGTGTTCCGAATTTCGTGCACAAAGTACTCCGTAAACAATTTGATTAAATTTTTAGGTTACGGTAGCTGTGTTTTATGAATTAAATACACGAATAACTTTCTGAAAAATTACTTTTCTTGTAGCAGCAAAAAAACGTATTTAGTGTATTTCGAGCAAAAAGTTTGATACAAAAATGAAACAAATCATCCTTAAAAGCTTTAAACTAAGCTTTACCTATTTCTTTTTCAATATTTTAACTATTTTATTCTGAAATATCTTTAGGAATGTCGAAGGAGAAGAATTGAATGGCATCATCTCAGAAATCTCCTCCTTTCCCCTTTCCCTTCTCCAAACCAAAGCTCTTCAATCATTTTTAGGGCTTATTTTTGAGGCCCTTCTTCCCCGAAAAACCCTCCAAACTCTTGAAAACCTTCAATATTTTGAAAATAACATCATTTTTCGTTTTTTTTTGATAAATATACCCACCGTAAATACTGTAATAGTATTTACTACTATAGTATTTACGGTAGTTTACTAATTAGCTTACTAGTTAGCTTATTCACTAAACTCAGTAAAGCCCCCCACCCCCCTCAGCGAATCGGATGAGCTCTTTTGTGCATCGCTTTGCTTTTCTAAAATCCATTAGCTTTACTGAGTTTAGTGAATAAGCTAACTAGTAAGCTAACTAGTAAACTAACTAGTAAGTTAACTAGTAAACTACCGTAAATACTATAATAGTACCTCACCCCCTCGTACAGTCGCGTAGTCGCAAAAGTTTTTTAGTATTTCATTTTTCTCAAAGCCCCCATACTTTCAAATGCGTTTTGGTATCAAAAAATAGCTGAAATTCAGGGCTATTTTTTGATACCTAAGCGCGCATTGTAGCATAAACCAGTGTCGAGAAAAACTCGTTCAAAGCTAGACTACGCAACACTCCGCACCGTCATTATGCGTACGGGTGCGGTACTATTACAGTATTTACGGTAGGCTCATCCAATAATTTACTTTCAAGCTTTTTCAGAGAAAAATCTTTGTGCACCACACTAAAATGCACTAAACTACCGTAACCCTCCAGGTTTTCTTTTTTTGGCGATTAGCCGATTTCTTTGTTTTTTTCTATTTTTGTTTTCATTTTGCACTAACTCTTTGAGCTGTAAGCAAGTCTGTAAGCTGTAAGCAAGCAAGAAAGCAAGTCTGTAAGCTGTAAGCAAGAGCTGTAAGCTAATTTCCGCAATTTTTTTGCGCAACTCGCCATAACTTTCTTCTAAGTGAGCCAATCTTTATGATTTTGGTGTCATTTTGTAGATCTCAATAAGTGTAACAAAATGAAACCAAAATCATAAAGACTGGTCGACTTAGTAGAAAGTTATGACGAGTTGCGCAAACGACCCAGTTGCGCAAATGACTCTGTTGCGGAAATTAGCCTATCCCCCATTGTCATTTATAAAGATGAGTGAATTTATGTCATTTATACCATGCCATTTATGCAATTTATGCCATAAGATTGCAAGAATTTATGCAAGATTTTGAAAATTGTGACAAAACTTCGAGAGAAGCTATACAAAGTTTAGAAATTTAGAATAAACATCCGCTTTTTCTAATTTCTTTAAATTTCTTTAAATTTTCTATTGATTTTTAAAGTTTTTTTTATCTAATTCTCTATTTCAGATAAAATGAAGCTAACATTTTTGCTATTTTTGGTGATCTCATTGATCTATTTCACCGCTCCCGTTGAGGGACTTGTTGGTGGATTTGGGAGTGAGTTTTAAAAAGGAAAACACATCTTTATTTCACATTTTTATATTATATATTGAATAATTCAGAGTATAAGATTAGATTTTACTTTTTAACAACAGCTTTTGAGTTAGTCTTTCGGTATTTATTTTGTTTGAGTTGGTTTTGGTATCATGCGATGCACAATTTTATTTTGCATCGAATGATAGTCAAAATAATCAAAATCAAAGGGTTGGTGCTAAGAAAAATGCGAAAAATCTTAAATTGCAATGCGAGCCGATTGCACATCGCAACACTAACAAAGGAAAACACATTTTTATTTCACATTTTTATATTATATATTGAATAATTCAGAGTATAAGATTAGATTTTACTTATTTACAACAGCTTTTGAGTTAGTCTTTCGTTATTTATTTTATAAAGATCAATACTAACTCGAATCTACCCAATAATAACTCGAATCTACAATTGTTACGATAAGATATTTGCATTTCACTTAAGATTCTTACAAATTTGTGTTAATTTTTTGGTTTTAATTAAACGCGCCTTGATGGAAAGGTTCAGTTAATGGAAATTCTCTTTCAGCTTTCCTTCGTCGTCCTCGATATCTCAGCTATGGCCCTGATCGCTACTATTCAGCTAAATACGGCTTTGGACGTGGACGTGGAGGATAAAAGAAAGAAAAATCTTCTTTAATAAAGTGTTTATTAATATTGAAAATTTAAACTCCACTCATTTTTAAGCCATTCAAGCACTCCAGCCTCTCCTTGTCACAAAATCGAAGCTATATTTTCTCATCGTTTTTGTCCAAAAATTATAGCTGTCACCAAAAAAACCTAAACGGTTTCATTGCATACATCTTACTTCTAAAACTCTTATTTTCTCGATCACCTGTCACCATTGAAGGCTTAGGTTTAAAGCTGAGATATTGGAGTTGATTGGCCGTGAATGGATCCCATTTGAAAGCGGCGATGTTCGGATTTCTGAAGAGATTTTGCTAGATCAGCTAAAATTTTGCTTGTCAAACCCAGTCTTAATGAATTGAATGATAAATTCTCTCATTAAATTTGCCACAGTGATATCCTCTTGTGTGGGAGTGAAATTAACGCTTTCACCAA